AAAAACCCACCAGCCACTTGTTTGTTCCCCCTTGGTGCAGGCTGGGGGAGAGAAGTGGAAGAGAATCATAGAATCATGTCATAGAATCATAGAAAGCCACATTGGAAGGGATCATCTGGTCCAATATTTCTAGGTAATACCATAGTTTATATGAGATGGCTCAGCACTCTGAGCAAAGATGAGAAACAGCTCATGGGTCAAGATTAACAGTTGAGTAAGTGAAGGGAGAATTAAATTGGGGGGAGAGCTGACAAGAGATGCAAAGGCAAACACCACCTCCCACTAGCAGACTGATGCCAAGTCAGTCCCCAGGCAACACCTGCTTTGAAAAATCTACCCTCAGTTTTTTATTGCTGAGCATGATGTTAAATGGTATATAATATCCCTTTGGTCAGTTGGGGACAGCTGTCCCAGCTGTGCCCGCTCCCAGCCCTTTGCCCCACCCATGGCCTAACTTGCTGGGGCTGCAGTGTGAGAACAGAGAAGGCCTTGATGCTGTGCAGGACTGCTCAGCAATAGCAAAAACATAGGTGTGTAACCAACACTGCATTAGTCATCAGTCTAAAACACAGCAGGTACAGGCTGCTATGAAGAAAATTAACTCCATCCTAGCCAGAGCTGGTACACCCTGGAACCAGGTGATGTCCTTTAGAGTTAAAATTCAGATTTAAACCAATCACCAGATCTGAGAGATATGTCACAGGTCTCCTCCTCAATGCTCCATTTGTTATTAATGTCCTCTGAGGACTCGGGCAATGCTGTGTGCTTTGGATCAGCTTAGCTGCACTTGATCTGAGCAAGGGGTTCTTATTGCATCCATTCAGAGCCTGCTGCTGTAGATCTGCATATGTGTTACTTCTGGATACCTGGAACTTGCATGGCAGATGTTTAGTATCTCTTGAATAACGGATTTGCACACTGGAACATGTTAACTGTAATTTTTATGTAAATTCATAAAGCTTGCTTGTACAAATACACAAATCTTGATTGTGTGACCTATTTATTTAAATACATGTTTATATGTGTTACTTTTCAAAAATACTTATGAATCCTGAATCTGGTTGTACAGTTGTTTGTTTAGTCTATGTGTTTAATAGTAGCTCTATAGATAGTAAAAACTTTGAATAACACACTGATTTTAGTGTAAAAATGATTTTTTAATTTTTAAACATCTGGATTTGTTTTGCATCTTCAAGTAGATGTGTTGCTGGTGACTTAAGGGAACTTGTCTTTGAAGGAAGTGTTCCTTAGATTTGCAAATAATGAGTATCCTTGTGATCTGATTAGATTTACTAACATTAGGGCTTTTATTAGTTTGCTGCGTAGATATAAAAATTAGCCTATTTCAATATTTTAACGTTTGTTGTTTATTTTAAATACTGCGTTGTGGAAAACTAATGTTTTGTTTGAAACACATTGAAACAGATTTTGTTCCAAACACATCTGATGATGAAGGGAGATATAAAATAGGAAACCAGGCAAATGTTGGGCTGTTTAATCTGAGCAAGCTTTTACAAGCTCTAAAACCTTTATTGGATTCCAGGCAAAAGCAGCTGTAAGTAATCCTTAAAATATCTTAACACTTAAAAGAACTAATGAGATGGGAGACTCCTCTAATCACCATATACATAGGAAAGAAATGGATTAGCTTTTAAAATCTTTCCTAAGTGGAAATTGATTCTGGAGTAATTGTTGGCCAGAATAAGGTGGAGGGAGGGGAGAACAGTTATTGTTGGTCATAGGTAATAGCAAAATATGACTGGAAAGTGGTCCTAGATGTGGTCTGTTCTCCTTTCCCTAAGACAGGACCTTGGCCTGTAGTTTTCTATAAGTTTGTCTGGCTTGTTCTTTAAGGTGTTTACTTATGAAGACTACACACAGTCCTAAATAAAGAGGCAGTATTTTTTGCAGCAGCTATTGATGTTTTTTAAGCTTTTAAAAATGTTCTCCTGTTGGTCTTTTCCCCACTATGGATCCCAATATATTCAGAATATCCATGTTTGTGAGATATGAAATAGAAGTTTTCATTGTTTAGTGTACAGTAGGGTTGTACCCAAGGTAGTATTGTAGTTAGACTTCGACATTTCTTTTGTTTTTGCAGAGCTTCCCAGATTTTGGAGGGGTACAGTGAGCGCTATTACACCCGGTAGGTGGTTCCAGAATGCAGACCTTGTAGGCACAATACTATAAATTGTTATGTGACAATGTCCTTACTTTTTTACTATTTCCAGTTTCACAGAACTATTCAAAACAAAATTGGGTCTTCTTGGGGAGAATGAGGATGACAACTATTTAATTGCTTTCCTCTTAAAAGTGAGTTTGCTAATTTTTTAGTGACCGTCTGGACTGATACTTCATATTTTAGAAGCTCTGATAATTGTATCTTTTTCACTAGCTTATGGAAGACACAAAGGCTGATTTTACAATGACATTTCGACAGCTCAGTGAAATTGCTGCTGACCAGTTGAAGGGGCTTCATATTCCTGAGGTATTAATTAAAACAAACAATCAATTGTAGGAATACTTAATACAAAATTGAGTAAATCAGGTTGAGCATAATTCTGAGAATGTGTTGAGCCATGATTTGCCTGGAAAATAAAATTGAGTAAATCAGGTTGAGCATAATTCTGGTGTAATAGAGAATGTGTTGAGCCATGATTTGCCTGGGAAATGTGTAATTGTAAGATTGCTACGGTGTAGGGAGACTAATATATCTGTGTAATGCTACCACCCCATGTTAAATCTGTGTCTAGTAATGCAAGATGAATTAATTAAGAGTACTGAACTAAAATTTTCAGCCTCTGGTACATGTCCCATATGAGTAGTCATAAATATTCATATGCAGGTAGGAATATTATTTTCTTGACATTTAAGATGGGTCTGCTATGAAGAACTTTCCTTCCCCCTGTCTTCCCTCCATTTTTTTTGTTTCTTTGCCTAAGAATACCTTCTGATAGCATTTCCTAAGATACAAATTAAGTTGGACAGGGCTCATTTTAACTTCAGACTCTTCCTAGCGTGGGTTTACCAGGTGACCTAAACATCTGCTCTCAGGCCCATCAGCTTGTCTTGGTATCTGATGACACTTGAGATCCCATGTCATCATAAGTTCTTGCTAGAGTCTCAGCCCATAGTGACCTCTGCCCTTCCTTGGGCACAAAATATTCTAAATGTAGCTTAAAGCATAGGACTATGTTCTGACACTGTCCTGCTCAGCCTGCTGTTGCATACTGTGTTGATCCTCGCTCAGCCTAAACTGATTCTTCAGGACTGAGTATAATCCTAAATGAGAGTGTTAAAAGAAGATAAGCTGCTTACCCGGATATAGTATAAACTTTAGAAGTGGAAATATGGCTGAAATGTTTGAACTGGAGTAAGATGCTAGGCAAATAACTGGATAAAAATGTAGCAGGGACACTAAACTGTGGTGAGGTTGAAGGGAAGAGATGCCATCCAGAGGGACCTTGGCAGGCTTGAGAGGTGGGCTCTTGCAAACTGCATGAAGTTCAAGAAGGCCAAGTGCAAGGTTGTGCACCTGGGTTGGGGCAACCCCAAGCACAAATACAGGTTGGGTGGAGAATGGATTAATAACAGGCCTGAAAAGAAGGACTTCAGGGTGATGGTGGACAAGAAGCTCAACATGAGCCAGCAATGTGCACTTGCAGCCCAGAAAGCCAACTGTGTCCTGGGCACAGAGGAAAATATATTAGGACAATTTGGGGTGAGAAGATTATTTGAAGGGTCATCATATGTTTCTCTCCTGTATTAAATATTGTTTCCTTAATTAGTTTTTTCTTTGTTTAACAGGAATCAAGTTCTGATTACCTGCCAGTAACCATTTCTTTCTCTTTAGGAGTTCTGGGCTCTGCAGGATCTGAGCAAACACAAGTTATTTTCAGAGTGGGTTACTATGTACCTCTTGAGATTAAGTCGGTAAGTCTGATGCAGTTTCAAGTGTGTTTGCCAGAAGCAGGCAACTCTAATTTGCAATGATTTCCATCATCTTTAGTGGATCTGGTAAACTGGTCCAAACATGGTGTGATATGCCTTTTTTTGTCTTGATGGCTCTAGTTTATGCTACAGTCCATAATAATAACCATTGCAGTTCTGACAGAAGTACAGAAAAATGACATGGGAGGAGTGGTCTCTATTTTTTGTCCTTCATCAAGCAACAGATGAGATTTCTTTGGTTAATAATTTTTGTTACAACAGCAGATCCTACAGATTCAGTCCAACAACCTGAAAGTCTGGCTTTGCAAATACATAGGCAAGATTAAGTGTTTCATTACTGGCAATACATGTATTTTTTACTATGTAATAATATTGCTTTACGATGACAGAGGGTGGAAGTTGAACAGTTGTGAATGCACAGACTGTATTTAGAAACCAGTGGTATTGCGAAGATGGGGAGATGCATGTTAGAACTTCCTACCAATTCTTTTGTTTTAAATCAATCAAGAATGTAACATGCTTTTATTAGTCATATATGGTATATGCATGGCTGATAGTAGTAAAAAGAAATGCATATAAAGCACCTGGAAATTTTAATCAAGTAAATACATTTCTTAGGGAAAAAATATAAACAATACAAAACCTACAAGAAAGTGTAGAGTTTTTTCCAAGTCTGATCATTCTTAGATATTCACAGCCACTTCTACACAAAACACAAAAGCAGAACAGTTAATTATTTTACTGGAATTCAAATAAAACAAGCCTAAAAATAATACTCATTAGCTAAAACACTTTTTTTTTCTTATTTCTGTTTTTCCTGTATAGTAACAAGGGTGATTCAGACACTAAGAGAAGAACAAGAATGACAAGTGAGTAAAAGAATCCAAAGGAATTCATATGGTTGGAGATGGCAGCTATATTTTTATATAGGTTTCTTTATTGTTAGCTCTTTTTCCTTTTGAGGGTAACTAAAATGTACTGTTTTTCTGAAGAGTGAAAAGGGCTTAGGCTGCTGCAAATCTTGTAACACTGCACATACACTGTGGCTGTCTCTGGTTTCACCCACTCTTGTGATGAGAATGTAGCCAAGTGTTGTATGGCTGGACTTGTGAATGTGTATGTTCTTTATACATAAGTGAAATGATAAACAAGCTCCTTGGCTACAGTAAGGCTTGCTTCCTCCTTAAGGATCTTCCCTTTCCTCTCCTTAAAAGAAAAAAGGCAACACAACCCTTAATTTAACTGTCTGCATTTATGAACAAATTGGTCTGGCCTAAGCCCCTTCTACTGTGAATGCAGTCGTAGTCATCTCAGCTCATTGAGGCCTGAGAGTGCCAGATGATGGAAGCGCACAGCAAATCTAGTCCAAGTTGCTTTTCTCAATTCTGCTGGTTTTGAATGATGAAGCTCATCTCTGTATTTCGGGAGACTAAAATCACAAGGGATGGAATCACAAGGGATGAAGACCTCATGAAAGCAGTTTTTCCTATCAGTACCCACAAGCACTGCTCTGACCCATCACACCCGATGTGAATATAGACACTGAAGCAATCCCACTCAGCTGCACAGCTCTCTCCTATTCAATATCAATCCTCATTTACCTACTTGTGTATTTTTCTTTATTTTTGTTTACCTTTTACTATTGTTTTTCTCTCATTTTTTATTTTTTTTACTGTCTTTTTTACAATTTCCATTTGGGGGTGTTCAGGAAATGCCAGGCCTCCAGCTTGTTCCATGCCTTGGTGCTCATGGACTTGATTCATTTATTTGCCTCTTTTGATTCCCTTTGAGGAATTAAAAATTACTGGCCCATGAGAACATGGTTGTCTGTATCTGGTCATGTCTCAAGTGGAGCCTCACCTTAATGTCTTGAAATGGTGGATGTACTCTGGCTGCTTCCCACGTTGTAACTCTTCATTGCAAAGTAGGTGGTCCCTGAAACAGCCCCTAGGATTTTATTTCCTTGTGAGAGATCCCCTTCCTCTTCTGCTATATCTGCTTTTCCTGAGTGCAAACAACATCTTTTCCTTGATCTGTATTTCCTGCCTTTAGCAGCCTGTGATTGTGTTGGTTTGCATTCCTCAGAACATTGCTCTTCCTCAGTGATGAACTTGGGATAACATCAGGAAGGATTCTGGTAGGCATCCTGTACTGGCCTAATGGGCTAAGATTTTTCTGAGTGTTCAAAGATGTTAAAATCCTTTCCACATGTTTCTGATAGGCATCCAGTTATTTTTTTTTCTGCACCTGGAGAAAATACTCCCTGCCAAAGGGCTATCTAGTCATGAAAGGAAGGTGTTGTAATTTTCCAAGTTATTCTAAATCCAAAATGTAGAGGTACTGTATTTAGCTGTCTGTCACAGCAGAAACAGCAGATATGAAATTCTAAGAATTGTTCAGGGAGACCTTTTTTTGGTCTGCAGTAAGCTGTGGTAAACTTGTGAAATTTGCCTATAAAAGAGAAGGAGCAACTGAAGATCTCTGGGCAAAAGGGAATGAAGGCAATGCAGGATCTGATCGAGTTCTGCAAAAGAGATATTTAAGCTTCAGTGTCACTCTGCTTTGCAGGGTGTTTTATTCTCATTTCTAATGGAAATGGCTGTACCTTTTTGTTAGATATGGATTGGCCCCTTTCTTCAAGTGCTTAAATTTAATAGGAAAATCTTAAGAGATAGCACTGACTTTTGGTAATAAGATAGTAAGAACTACCTAGGGCACAATTTATCATCACATGGACCTTCAAATTTGCATCCACACTTTCTAACCCCAAGGGTCCACTCATTTTTAGAAACACTTAATTACAATTTTACATGTATTCTTAGAAAATTTAGATTAAAACAATTACCAAGCAGAAAGGTTTGATTTATTATTTGCAATTCATGTATTAATTTTGTTAGGGTTAAGAAGTTTTAACCATGGGACTCAGAGGCTCTTAGCTCAACTACTGTTTTGAGATTTTGAGCTCCCCTGTTTCCCTCAACTAAAATCTAATGCTGAGAATGTAGAAAAACTCAACTGAGCCAACTGTGCATTTTTAACCAGCATTTCATGTTAAAGACAAAACTGTCAGGGTTTTCCAGATTTTTATATGGGTTAGTCTCACCACATTTCCCATCACTGTCTTTACTACTGGCTGACCTTGATTATATTGCCATTATCATCTCATTATTCATCACCTTTCCCTTGTCATTAGTAAGCTAGTAAAATATCTCACTTCTCAAAGTATATTACCTTACTGAATTTCAACTTGATAACTTCCTGTTGTTACTTTTTCCTCTCTTAATTTAGTTTTTACTCCTTAGTAGCACTTTATCTTTTACTGGCTGAACAGTTTCTTAGGAGTTGAGCAAAAAGTTTTGACAATCCAAATCCCCATACAAGTCTGTAATTGCATTTCTTTATAAAAGAAGCATGTAAAAAAAAAAAAAAAAAAAGGTAGACCAGATCTTAAAATGCTTGTAAGGGCACAATGTTTCTTCTCCTTTGTCCTTTTCTTATCTGGCTTGTCTTATTCTCTTATAATTATCTCGTCACTTGTCTTAATTACAGATATTTTTAACACCACTGTGAAAGTTGTCAATTTGCAGTTGTTAATGTCTTGCTGGTACAAATATTCTGCTAAAATAAGTCATGGGTTTAATTTGAATTATCATTTTTTTGTCTGATTCATAAGTTAACTTCTCCATCTTTTAAATATTCTTTTAATATTGTTAGCACACTTCATTATTGAAAACCTATTTACTGGATTAAATAAAATACTTGGCCAGAGCCAATTTCTTTGCCAAGTGGGAAAGCACTATTATTTTAGCAGGTATGACAGGGTGTTGTTCTGGCAATGTAGAGGTTCCATATCAGGGAACCACATAGCTAGCCATATTTATTTGCTGCTTTTTTTTTTTTTTACCATTAAGTACATACAGAATGGCAGCAATGTGAAAAAGAAGCATGTCTGTATCTAAATGGATGGTGTCTCAGGCTTCATTCTCACAGAAGTCAGCATGTGGACATTGTGCCAGAATGTTGTTCTGTTACCTGTAGAGGTTTTACAAAGGAGGGAGTGGCAGTGTTATTTGAGGTGCTTCTGTTTTCAGCCCATGTTCTGATTTGATAAGAGAGCTTCACCTCCCCTCTTCTGGCAGGATCTTGAGTGGTCAGGGTTCAGCACTTAGAGCAGAGGGTGATTTTTTTTGTCCTTTACTTTTCTAAATAACATAAAGACCCTCTGTGTAATGCTGCTGAAAAATCTTGTGGCTTAAAATGGCTATCATTCAGTTCCAAACAAAGAATTTGATTCTGTTGTGATACATAAAACCATACAAGTGTTGTTTTGCTAGAGCTTCAGTAAATTCTAGTTTGTTAGTTGGTTAAATGGTGCTTTTTAGAAGCAGTGCTTATTACAGAGCAGCCTGTTCACTACACTAGGCACTAATTCTGTATGGGGAGCTCTTAGGTATGAACGAAGTCCTGCTATTGTCTGACTACAAAACCTTAGGAGGAGCCAGTTAGAGCTTTTCTCAGACATTGATTGTCTTTGTATTCAACTAGGACCAAAAAGTTGTTTGCAAGGCGAGGAAACAGTACAGAGGGGTGCAAGATCACAGTGAGTTGAGAAATGGAAATTGGCTAAGTTTAATCCTTTAATCCAAAATATTGTCTCTGATCATCCCTCTCCTAATATAATTTCTTAATTTTAAATAAAATAACATAATAACTAATTGGCTGGAGGGAAATTTGGCACCATGGTTTTGATGAATACTCTGCTTTCTCTCATAGCCTCTTTCAGATATGCTGCAAGGGTATTTATAAGAACATTTTATAAAGCTACATGGATTTTTTGAAATAAATATATAAAATAAGAGACTTGCACTAATATTTATTCATATGAAACATACTGGGACATTAATGAAAAGAGAAGGAACAGCTGAAGTTTCTGTATGTACATAAATGAGAAACTTTTTGTTTCAAGTCCAATGTGAAATGTCTCTGATATCACTTACTAATCTCATAATGTAATAATCAGCTACTATATTTGGGAAAATATGCAGACCAGTGACAAATTAAGATTTACAATGCAAGCTTGAAATGTCTGTTACAATTAATTATAATTAATTAAAGGGAAAACTTTCTGAAGCAGAATCCTAGGCTCTAATTACAGAGCAAAAATAAGAGTTGTGTTCATGTTACCTGCTATAAAAATGGAGCATCTTATGAGAATTGTCCTTGGCATACAGTTTGACAGAACCCCTGTGAGTTGTTAGTTGCTGACCTGTAAGCTACAGCCTGGGTTATGAATTCAGCAGTTTCATTTTCTTTGTCCCTACAATCTCCGACTGGTTAGACACAGTCAGCCTGGAACATGCCAGAGATACAGTGCAACTATCATGGGTGTTTCCAAGAAGATAAAGAAGACAGTTGTGGAAAAAACTGTGGACAATCCCCTTCCCAGGAAACCAAAAGGAATGATGAAGTTGAAAAAGCAATTTTTAAAAAATACAGCTGAAATCCAACAATAAAGGCTTTTACGGCCAAACTTCTTCTATGAAATAGGAGAAGGAATACATATACTTTAATGAATATAACAATAATTCCTTTTAACATTACCTAATATAATACAATATTAATTTTTATGCTCTCCGGAAACGTACTGACAACATTGAAATACACTTCCCAATAATGTACCAGGAACCCAGGTCATGGTAAAGGAACCTCATTTGAAAAGTCTGCTGGTGTTCATAACAGGAAATCCTTTGTGTATCAATGTGGTGTTCTATACTATTCATATTTTTGTTTGGCACTTCGGCATTATTGATTGTGCAAGTTTAAAAAGACCCTTCTAGCAGCTCATAAAAATAGATAATTGATTCATTCCTTTTCCTTTTTCTACATTTTTTTTTCTTGAACTGCAAATTAAACCTTGAAGATTTCAGTGTTACGTTTCAATTATTGCATTTTGCTTTTGTTGAATAGGTTCAACTAAATTTAACACAATTTACTTTTGGTTTCAGGTGTTAATCCTAGATACATACTCAGGAATTGGATGGCAGAATCAGCAGTGCAAAAAGCTAATTTGAATGATTTCTCAGAGGTAAAATTATTTCTGTCTTTCTTGACATATTTATTAATAATTGGCATAATTGTTAATGAGTTGTTGCATTTACACTTTGAATGTGTTTTACACTTAGACCAACATTGTAGTGTCTAATGCCAATTCTTATCAACAATATTAACAAGGCTATTAATAGTAACATAAATAGTAGTGACTATATTAATAGTAGTAGTAATAATACTACTCATGGAGTAGTTTCTGGAGGCAGGAGCATGCATAACATGAAGTGGCAGAGACTTTTCTTGTCTGCAGGAAAACATTTTGTACAAAAGCTTACCCATTTTAATTGCTTCCAGGTGAATCTCCTGCAGCAGATTTTACGACACCCCTTCCGGAGACAGCAGGCTGCAGAGGAAGCAGGGTACTCCCTGCAACCCCCAGCTTGGGCCAAGGATTTGAGAGTAAGCTGCTCATCCTGAGAGGAATCTGAATGAGCAAGAAAAGTGATCAAGGCCAAACCTCAGAATAGGATTAAGCCACATGAGCTTCTCTCCCTTATACTTGGTGGACTGGAATCTGCTACTCTGCTAGGCAAGACAAGTTCTTGACCAGTTTATAAAGTCTAAAGATTAAATAAATGAGACACTAAAGTCTAAAGATTAAAGAAATGAGACACTGTGGTTGCATCAGCAAATTATACTGGCATTTGTAACTCTGCCCTTCAGCTGTATGTTGAGCCCCACTATTTAAGTTCTGCCAAACTGTCACACTGAACCTCTCAGTATTCATGGCTGATCAGGTGGGTCTCAATACCTTTTCATGGTCAATTTAAAATCCATCCAAGGTAGTTTTAATTAAAGTATTTTGATGAATGTTCTCCTTGCTTTTAAACACTGTTCAAATATAATTGTATTCTGAAGATATAAATGTACTAAAGTCTTTTGCAGAGTTGGAACTGAGGATCATCTTGCCCTAAGACCTTGTCACCTTTTCTCTTTTTGCCCTTGTTTTGTACCATTAAACTGCCAACAAAACTTAAAGGAAATTCAATCAAATCATGAGCAAAGATGTCTAGTTTAGGAGTGACTTGCCCAAAAAGAAATGTTGGTGTCTTTGCTGGTGTCAGCAAAATGCCCAGTCTCAAGCCTGGCCCACTGCTCTTTGAAAGTGTATCTTTTGATGGTAGTAGAACAATTGTTGGTGCATTGATATAATGCCTCAGGGAATTTTCTGTGGTTGGATGTGGAAAAGGACTTTCTTGGACATATCTCACAACATATGTAGTCAGGTCAATCTAACTTTTGTACCCAGCCACCTGATGCTGTGAGACTAACAAAAACCTTGTAGGAAAGCATTTAAAATTAAACTGAAGCTGTTACAGAAGTTATTTGAGTAACAGACTTTGAGTCTTGGGTCTTGTTTATTGTCTGGCTTGAATACTCCCACATCACAAAACTTGGTGCATAATTAAGCCGAAATTAATACATAAGCAATAAGGTGCAATGTTATGCTAGGGAAAGCATTTAAAATTAAACTGAAGCTGTTACAGAAGTTCTTTGAGTAACAGACTTTGAGTCTTGGGTCTTGTTTATTATTCTGGCTTGATACTCCCACATCACAAAACTTGGTGCATAATTAAGCCGAAATTAATACATAAGCAATAAGGTGCAATGTTATGCTAGAAGATTTTAAGCAAAAATCACCTGTCTTGGGGCTTTGTTACTTTTTGATGTTAACCCATCTCTTCCCAAATCCAAAATTGATTGGTTTAGAATCTCTAAATTTCTGAAATCTCTTGATTCTGCAATAGAGGCTATTAAGTGGTACAATTAGCATTTCAAAATCTATTTTTAGAAAGGTAGGTAGTGTGAAAAAAAATAAAATTAGAAATCTTTCAGTGACTAAAAAACATTTGAATGTCTTCTTCACTATAATATACACAATTATTCAGGATGATTCCCTTTGAATATACAGTCACTCAAATATAAATAACTGTTCAAAGCTGTTCAAATGTAAATAGTGGTATCATAATGTGAGGACCAATACAGATTTTTAAATACATTTTTTTTCGAAGTCCAGTCCAAAGTTCAAGCAACTTACAGAAGTTCAGCCTGGGTTAACATGCCTTGTGCAGGTAGTAAATGCTCTTCTGCAACCAATGGGATTAGTGTTTGAGCTGACAACTCCCTCTGGGCAAGAGGAGTGTGCTCCTGGGGGTCTGTAGAAGCCCGACAGCAGCAGGCTGCATTCCCAACCTATTCAAACACTGGTGGTGGTGTCTCTTCTCAGGTAATTACAAGCAAACCAGCATGTTGTGATGGAGTGTCAGCATTACCTCCTGCAGTGCAGCAAGTTACACTGCAAGTAAGTGATGATTTGAAAATGAACGTTTGTGTCTGCAGGGTAGATGAAACAGGACTGCAGTTTGAACCCTGGTTTCCATGTAGGTGGAAGGAAAGAACCTTTATCTGGAACCAAACATGCAGTAAGTTTCTTTTGTATGTGGGCTAAACACAGCTGCCTGTACATTTTCACCTCATGGAATAATTGCATAAATGCAAAGCACTTTCATACTGCTTTTTTTTTTTTTCCCCCCAATGTTTGTTAAATGTTAAGTCCTATTAGTAGCAATTGGATGTCTGCTTCCCCCCTATTTACAGGTGAAGAAAGCCTCCAGCATCACAGTATAAAACCAGAACATCCCACATGGGAGGGAGCTATCTTATAGGCAGTGGTATGTACTGCCCCTTGTGCTCATTGTGAGGCTTTTCTCAGGTTCTTGAACAACATCTGAAAGAAAGAAGCAAGCCCTGAAAAGTGGCTTCACATATTCCTCTGGCTGGGGGGAACAGTTTAGCTACTTCTCCTCCAGGAGTTCACTCCTGGATTCAGTCATGCCCTCTTTCCTTGATTTAGATGAAAGAAAAATCTCCATTATTTTTTACCCTATTTTTGCCCTGCAGTTTACATTGCCTTTAGTTTTTAGCAACTATTCTGATTTCATAGTAGTCAGACTGTTAATGGTGATCAAAATGCCTTCGAATACTGGGCAAGACCATGAGAATTTAACAATAATACATCTCTTGCTCTGCCTCCCTCACACAGAATATGCATGTTTCCCGGTTAGTGACACTGTCAGTGATGACCCATAAGCAATAGTTCTGTCCTATAGTTTTGCCACATGATGCATTTAAGTTTCTACTTTTCCACTCTCCAAGTGTCTAACAAAGAGCACATGAAAAACACCCAAAAAATAGTTCTCCCAACACTACCTTTTAACTGTGTTTTGTAAAAGTAGAGAAATGACTCCCCACCCCATGCTCAGCACTTGGTACCACCTCCCTTTTCACTTCTAGATCTTAATTGTTACAGTTTATTATGACAACATAGGCATTAACACTGTTTCACAAGATATTCTCTAAACTCCTTGGCTTCCATTGGCAGTTCTAGAGCTCCCTTTTCCTACAAGTTACATAAACATAGCAGTGATGCAGGAGCAGGTGGGAGTAAAAACACTGTGGCTGGTGATCAAACAGGTGGTTATTGGTAGTGCTGTCCTCTTTCAGTAGTAGAGGACAGTTACTGGGGCAGCAGTGTTGATTCCCCACACGTGAACTTTTCCATGTGGCTCTAACCTTTCTAATCCCAAGGACTGGTGGAAAAGTGATCACTTGAAGCAGGTCCTTCTTCCACATCAGTGATGTTAGCGCCCAGAGAAGATGACAGCTGCTGAGGCTGCTTCCATCTGAGTTATGGAGAAAGGTTAAAAATAGCATGCTGCAATTTCACATCTTTTCAGACTAAAATACTGTAATCTCCACTAATGTTCATATTGCCACAATCTACAGGAACCAGACCATTTCATATGGCAATAAGTTAGATAGAGGTAGGAGGATTGATTTCTTTTTTTTTTTTTAAATTGATTTACAGTCTTGGAAAGGAAGATCTCTGTATTTTGCAGCATCTCTTTTGTACCAACTAAAGCCAGATAATTGTGTATAATTAAGATGGTAGCTTTTCTTTGAATGGAGAGTTTGAATACTTGTATTTCAGAAATTCAGTGCAACCAGGTACCTACACAGAGTAGCTGATGGAGGTCTAATCATCACAGCACTTTAATTGATTTGGGGAGTTTTCTGTAGGCTTTGATTCTTTTTGTCTCGAGGAAAGCACAACTTTTCTTTTGTGTATGAGTAAGTGCATGAGTTATGATTGACTGCAGATGTAAAATGTATAAAATTGAGTTTATTGTGTTGTAACAAAAGAGAAGGGGGGAAAGAGCAAGAGGCTGAGATTCTGGTGAGAAAGGTGCTTGGGAAGCCATGTAGAAATCTTAGTGCTTTGTGAATTCAGATAAACTAGCTTTTTGTGCAATATTTTTCTAAGGCCACTTTCTGCTTTATTTTCATGATGAGTGTGCATTTATAAAAGAAAATTAATTTGATTTAAAAAGAGCTGGGTAGCAGATGGCTGTTGCCACTAAAGTATGTTGAAGATGTGCACTCCTAATACCTTGTCACAAAATGACACCCAGCTCTTTAGGATTCAGTGATTCTGTGTACTGCTTACCTCAGTTACCTATGGAAAGCAATTCTGAAACATTAGGGTTTTTTAACCCCTAGTTTTAATCCTCCTACTATTAACTGGCTAGTATTTTTCTCCTGTACTTGGAACTAAAGCTTGACTAAGCTTATGAGCCTTGCACTGGTCTCCAGAGCATTTCTCAGATTGGCTGTTTGGAGATTATGAAAGACCTTTTGAATGGTCTAGCATGTAAATTCAAAACCTGTGGGTAACTTCTGTGTAAGTGGTGAACATCATTCTCTTGGTGAGAGCTTTTTGCTCATGTAAGTGAAAGCAAGGGAGCTAGAAGAAGAGTTAGCACTGTATGGGCTCTGTGTTGGTAAGAGGGCCAGGAACTAGTCCCTTGGCCCATGAAGTGGTACCTTAGCTGGCCATGTCTGCCCTACAGGGGATCTTTGTATGAGGAGTGAGATCTGCTTTAGACTCATCCATGTTGTCTTCTTGGAATGGTGCCTGGCCTGGGCAGTTCCTTGAAGTGAGCTTGGGACTGTCCTTCAGCCCACTTGGCCACTGTGGTGAGCACTAAGCCAGCAGGTCAAGCTTGCATCCTTGTTCGCTTTTATTTAGCAGCAGAGACACGGGTGTACAACTGTAGCATCTTGCTAGCAATGCTAGACCCTCAGCTGTAGGCTGCAGAGCAAACAAATGGTTAGCAGCTGTCACTCCCCATCCCCGTATCCCTGGTGTGAGCTTTACTTAAATCTGCCAATGCTTATACTGCTGAAAAACCAAAGAAAGGAAGGGGGAAACAGAGTGGTTGTCCCTTGGCTGTACCTGAGTACCTCTGGGGCTGGGCATGACTACTGCAGGAAGAACATCCCTGAGCTTCATCTTGTCTCAACTGAAAATAGATTAAATTGTGGGATGCCACATAAACTTTTTTTTTTTTAACTACTCCCTGGCACATCCCTGGATGAAGGATCCCTGTTCTGATGTGCATCCCCAAGTTCCTCTTGTGTCCATCACTGCCCTCCCTGCTGGCTCCTTCCAAGACCCTGTCTTCTCTCCCTGCTTTGACCAGCTACTGGCCTCTGCTCCCGGGGCTGAGCCTGGCATCTTTTGCCTTGCACAGCTCCAGCCTGTGAGGGGTCTGGCTCCCTGGCACAGAGTGCTCATGGGTTCTGCTTTATCATAGCAGATCCTGGTCTTTGCTGTCTCCTGGAGGCCCGTGCTCACGCAGCCACCACAGTGTGCAAACGTAGTAGGGACCATCTGCACAAAAGCAAGAGGGGCCAGCACTGCTATCTGTCCTGGGATAAAAGGGTGTCTCTCTGTGCTGTGACCTTGTAAAAAAAACTGTTGGAGATAAGGATCTGCAACTCTTAGGTGAAGAGGGAATGTAACAGCCAGAGATTGTCTCGGTTACTGTTGCACTCTCCGATGCTACCAATGATATTCCCTTGAGGTCAGTAAGGGCAGGGACTGCAAGGCCTCTGGCGTGAGGGCCAGGCCTGGGCACCCTGACACACCTGCATCATCTTGGAGAGCCAAGAAAGTCCCCTGCCTCTCCCTGGTTGGTCAAATAATTCACTTAAAGCAAAGATTCCACCAAGGAGTGGGGTCAACAGCAGAACATGTGGTGTGACACACCGGTGTGGGGTGGGATGGGGTGAGCCTCATTGGAACTGTGGTGTCAACAGCTTTTTGGTGCTCCTTGTTTATTCTCAAGTGGTGGCTCCTGCAGGCAGTGCCCTAGCTCTCTGCCAGCTGTGCAGCTAGGCAGCTTGCTCTTAGCAGCTCTCACAAATACAAGCTTGCAAAACCTTGTAATTAAGGTTGTAATTAAAATGCTTTAACATTTTTTTCAATTTGAAAACCAGGGAGGACTATTAACTACAACCACCTTTGCCCACAGGAAGAAAGACGTGGTTCATCATCTCATCAGTGGGTTCAGGTTTGATAGTTTTTGTTTGTTTGTTTTGTAGTGACTTCAAAAGGAAAGGCACTTTATAGAGATGTGGTTATAGCCTTCGTATTTCGGCCAGGCTGTTATGCAGGTATGTGGTTACTGACAGACCCACCTTAAGCCAAAACTAAGACTAAAAATGACCCAAAACCTTCCCAGGCAGTGGCACTGCCACCACCATGTCATTCCCTTGCCTCCCACCACCACTTCTGGACCTTGGACTCCATTTTGACAAATATCAATGAACTTGACCCCTGTTCCATCAGCTGCTTTTATGTATTTATTTATTTAGACCCCACACTTTGCTTTCTATGGCTTTTGCATTGAAAAATACAGAAATATATTACCTATGTCTTAGAAGATCATGTCCATAAGAGGCAAAAACTGGAAGAAATAAAGACTAGCAGGTATAAGCAAAAGCTTAAGATATTTGAAGTGGTACCAATTGCCAGTAAAATGCCTGTTCATTAACTATGACACTTTTGGGCAAATAGAACATAGAAGCTATTTTTATTTAAGAACTAACAATGACTGCTGCCTAAATGAATAACGAATAATTAAAATGGGAGAACAAATGAAAAAATGTAGGAGGAGACATTCCTATCAGGTACAAGATAATGACAAAGTCTTTCAGAAGACAGGCTATTTCTAGGTACAGTTTGAAGACAAATGTTAACGAATGGGGGAGGAATAATCCCTGCTTACCAAAGGAAGCATACAAGATTTTGAAAAAAAAATTTATCTTTCTCTAAGATTAACCAAATACATGATTTAAAGGAAGTAAGTCTGAGTGCTGACAGGTATGGCTGCGGTTGCATATGGAAGCAGGAGACTATAACATTTGGGGTGACACTGTCTGAAAATGGCCCTGGTTCTGCCTTGCAGCTCAGAATAATCTAACTGAGCTTTTACTCTTTAAGACAGACTGTTAAAAAAAAGGGTTCTATTTATTGACAAAAACCCCACAGTTGGGGTTTTTCTGATGAAGAACCTTTAAGGGGAATTCTGTAAAAAGGATCTTCCCACTTCTCGAAACAGACATGAGAACACTGTATTATTTTTATCTTCACTCCAATTCTTCTAGAGAGGCAGCCACAAGAGATGCCTTTCACTCGCAGGCCAGCTTTGCAAGTGCTGCTCCACCATCCCTGGCTGTCCTGATGGAGTAAGCAAGACTCTGCATCCAATTCCTGCCTCAGCCTAATGCTGAAATGGTAGTTAATGGGGGGAGGAGGGGGGAAAGAACAGGTTATAGTGACAGAGGGCACCCCTACTTTATTTTTGATAACCCCAGTAGGAACTCTGAAGGAGAATTCCTCCAGGAGGAGCCTGATCCAGCACAACCTTCCATGATGCCTCACAAAACCAGCTAGAGCTTGAAGTCCAACTGCTCCCAGCGTTCAGGAGCTGCTGCCTCTTTTCTTCTCAAGAGCTTTCATTAGGTCAGACATGAAATCTCCTTGCCTGCCTCCACCCCCAATGGGAGGAGGCCCAGCTGACCGTGGCTCTCCAGCTTGTCCTGTGTTTTCTAGCCTTTTTGAAGGAAGTGGCACAGGTTTCTTTGTTGGAGGTGGTGGCTTAGTGGAGAGAGGTGGAGGTGGAGGGGGTAATGGCAGGTCTCCATTACCACTGCTGGAGGCTGGTGGTGGGGGAGGTACAAAATCAGGAGGAGGTTCGCAGAAATCAGATGGTGATGGTGGTGGAAACTCCATCTTCAATGTAGGTGGTGGTGCTGGAAAGCTGTCTGGGTCTGACAGGTAAATGCCGCTGTCTCGTTTGGAGGGTAGAATTGGTGAAACAGAACTAGCAGATGACCGCCTCTCAGGTGGAGGAGGAGGCTGCAGGGAGTTCCTCCTACTCTGGGATTGCTGTAGCCTCATCACTGACTGTGCCAGACCAGACGCCCCAATGTGATTTGACCTGGCCTTTAAAAAGTAGAAGAAATAAAAGGACAAGAGACAGTCAGTGCATGTGCAAACTACTGCTACCGCCCAAGAACAGTGGAAAGACGTGAGGATGTGAGAAGACTGCAGCAGGCAGGCAGCAAAATTAAGCAGACCACATTCTGCCTTTTCTTTCTGGAGCTGCCCTCAGAGCTCTGCCAGTGGAAACCTCCATGTGGACAGTATTCATAGAGCTGTTTTGGGTGCTGTCCTCAGAAAATGAGTGCTTTTAAAATTTCAGAGAATTACAGTTAGAAGACATATGAAGATACTTTCTTAATGTTCCATCCTGCTGTTCATTCCCTGAAGACTTAAAAAAAAATAAAAAAAAAATCTGTGCTGTGTTTTTACATCCAAAAATACTGAGCAAGAGTTCAGAACATAAAAAGCAGGTGTAGTCTGGGCTCTCATCCCTATCTCCCATTCTAGCTGTGACTGCTGGATCTCTGGATGAAGCAAAAATAATGAAGTCACCTGTTTCTAATGAAGTCACCAAATTCATTAGACATAACAGTAGTGAACTGGGAAGAAGGTGGAGAGATCTGGGAATTTAAAGTTTACACGTGTTTGGAATCAGTGTCCTCAGCCCTGGTACTGCCCTGGGCCCCTCTGTGCCGGTGGGAAAGCGCTGCACGGTGCTGTGGAGAGAGGCAGGCAGGGAAGCCTGTCACCCTGCTGTCACCCTGCTGTCACGAGCCTGTGCACTGCACTGCAGGGACAAGGGCCATGATAAGCCTAGGGAAGGGTGTCTTCTGCCTGCTGTGCAAGGCACATGCACACACTTCCTCCACTTTTGCAACAACAGTATGGCAAAATGGTCCCTGAAGCCACCAAGTTCCAGCCACGTCTGCAAGGTCACGAGATGTTCAACCCTTCTGACAACTTTTTTTGAAGGAAATATGAATACAAGCATCATCCATCATACAAGTTAAGAAAACACAGGGTAGCAGTACGTTATGGAGATGCTTGTTTTGACAAAATGTTAAGATGACTTTTAAATTGTGTTTGTTGGTGGACACTGAAGATAAATAAAGCCTATTTGGTGGTATCTGGAGATAATTTGCTCTTTTTTTCAGGTAGCAGCTGGTAGCTGCTGACAACTACTACAGAAACATGCTGTCTATTCTTGTCAACCTGCGGAGAAGTTTGCTGTCCTGAAAACAAAGCTTTGCAACACATTCAGTTCCAGTGACACTAATTTATCAGTTTAGCTCCAGCTAGGTCAGCAGCACAGTGCATGCTGAAAGGCTTCAGCTTGATTCTTTGGTCCCAGGCTTGTAGAAGTAGCGAGATTAAGATGGCAACATGTTTGCTTCTGCTGGAGAACGTGCTCTGCAACCCTGCAGTCAGCAGTACTAATTCTGGCATTAGCTAAGTATAACATGCTTGCCTTCTTTTCCTCGCTCTCCTTGCCTAAAAGATAGAAGTAAATGAGACACAGGAGGAGGGAACCACTGGCTGAGTTCTGAGAACATGATCTATTCCAGAGGAAGTGAGGCTCAGAACAGAGAAACAGATCTTTTTAAAGGAGGAACTCAGAAACAGGAAGCGTAGGACACATAATGCAGGTGACAGAAAAATCCTAGAATTTCATTTCACTTGTTCTGTGCACATGATGCATGATGAAGGGAGTGATTAATGAACTGCAAACAGCAGGGTTTATTTTTCTGTAGGATGTTTTTTAAGTCCTTATACTGTAGCCTACAGCCAGAGATGGTGCAAGTAAACAAAATTTGGAGCTTAACCAAGGAATGCATTTAGAGGCTAAGGAAAAAGTATTTTTTTTTCCCTTACTTCTTCACACTTCCTCCTCTTAGGCACTGCTGAAAACGCTACTGTATCCTTTGTGTTACTAAGGCAAGACCTGTTTTCTGGCAGAAAACAGCACCACAGTTCTGACAGCACCAAGTCTTTGAGACTGCCCCAACAGGCACATTCCTGTTCCTGCTACATGAAGTTACACCTGGGATGGTTATGCTGGATGGGCTGTGCCTTCACCACCCATCAGCAGCTCCGTGAAAGGTGTGAGGAGGGGCAGCAAGGAGCCAACAGGAGGGGCAGCAAGGAACCAGCCGCTTCGCTCAGGAGACAAACACTTGTAACAAAAGCATGCAGGTGCTCTGAGGCAGGAAGATGGTGGGTGAAGAAAAACAAACTTGGAGAAAGTGTTCACAGGTGACGTTTAACTAGTGCAGTGCTATTAACCACTGACTGGTACCTCTGATGTATCCACTTTCTTCTGAGTTTCTGACAATTCTGCACTGGGACGACGAACAATTTGGGGAATCTGTCCATTTGACTGAACAGCACCTGCGACAAGGGAAGAGAGTGTGACATTTTTGTCCTATTAACTGGATCAGGGAATAGCAAACTCACACAAAGCGGTAAAAGCATCTTTCCAACTTTCACCAAGGAACCACTTGTTACTGATTTTCTTATACATAATGGAATCCATGAGGATGCCTGTTTTCTACTTCTGGCTTATTTTGTGACTTTTCGTATAGTTTCGTATCAATAACAGTCAGGAGAGCTGAAGGTTTGAAAACCTACACAGAGACTGATCCCTTTTCTTTAGTAAATTAACAAAGAGCTCTGAAACTTTCCCATCTGGAATCATGGAAGATTTGTGAACTGCACTCTTTTCTCAGATTAGTGAAAATCTGCCAGCTGGTTAAGTTAAAGCTCTGCAAAATGTCTACCCACCATTACTGTGTTTACAAGGGATATGTATAAATAACCCAATACTCTCAAATGGAGTAAGTGAATGTGAGACCAAATGGCAAATTTGTGGGTTTAATTATGAAAAAATCCCCAGCACCTGTATAGTCTGATGAGAGTTAAATAAACTCTCTAGTCTAGGATTTTTGGAAGCTGCATATGTCGAAGTAGTAGACAGTATTTGTTTGGTGCCTAGATACGTATATTTGTAAACCTTAATGACTTAGCTCTATTATAATTTACAGTCCTGAGATCCAGTAAATTCCATTCATGTACTTGGATGCTAGTGAACCCTTAGCTGTCTACAATATAAGTCTAAGCACAATGATGGTTTTAATCTTAACATGTACTAATCTGATTAGCAAAGAGGTTCCATTAATATGATAAGAAATAGAATAAATTTATTGCCATGCCTTCAAATCACACAACTGACAGAGAAGTAAGCAGCTCTGCAGTGTACTGGAGTTACTGAGGCTATTTAAGCTTCAAGAGATGACAGAAGATGGTCTGAAGCCCTTGTGCCTGCATGTTTTATGCCTGTGCCTGCAAGTCATTTGGCATATTTAAACCAAAGTACCATTTTGATAATGCAAACTAGTCTGTTAAAGGACTAACACAGAAGTTCAATAAAGAGATAAAACCAATCTCATGGCTGTAAATGCTCAGGAGAGAAAGATGTACATCCCTGGGTTCTGTGGCCATGCCCTCAAGTGAAGCAAGTTACTGCCTCTTCACTTTGTCTGCTGTGCATAGCAGAGCTGGAGTTTGGGCTTCTCCCTGCTCAAAGGCATTGCTGCCTTCAGTTATGTTGAGATTTAACTAAATGAGGGTCAAGAGAGATCCACTCCATACAGTGTACGTAAGGTACAGTGTTCTATTTCGTTCATATATATCTAAATCTTGGGACATAGCTAAATGGTATTCTGTTTCTTCTTCTGTTAATGGATTTCATGAACTATGCAAGACTTGAAAGTAACATCCTGCCACATAACCTGCATAGAAGCTATGCACAAAGTCTGCCAGCTAAAGGACACTCAGTCAATCCAATATGTGAGTTCAGGTGTTAGATTAATAAGATTTATTTTTAATTTAAATGTTGTAGTATTCCCTGCAAGTCAATGTCTCCAAACTTTTATGTTGAATTAGTATTAGTTTTGAGGAAAAATAAAGTCCAAATATAATGTAAAATATAGATACGCAAAATATATAATGCAAATACTGAGCTTTGTAGTGATATGGAGCACCAGAATAAAGCAACATCCCTCATCTTTCAAACACCCTGACATTGTGCTGGCACAACACACACAGTTTCCTCAGTGTCCAAAGACACACAGAGTGAGGCAGAGAAGCAAACCACATACTTTGCCTGGGTGTGCCTGGCACCTGGGACACTGCAGAACCACAGACTGTGCAGTCCAGGGTATGTGTGAGCACACAAATCCGGCTCCAGCAGCCTGACCAGGAAATACAGGCCACATGAGATGTGACAACAGAAGTGCCACCTGCCTTCCTGAGCACTGCTTTGGGCTGCCACTGACATTAACAGAGTACAGCCCCCTGCTAAGCTCACACAGGACTGTAGTTTCCTGTAGCAGATTTTAGTCTCTACTGAAATCAGACCATATAAATGACCCTGCAGCCATGTGAAAACAGAACAGATAAATTTGCCAGTCACAAGTGCTGTTCCCCAGGGCTCAATGCTGGGGCCAGTTCCCTATAGTATCTCTACCAATGGTCTGGATGAGGGGATGGAGTGCATCCTCAGTAAGTTTGCAGAGGATACTAATCTGGGAGGGAGTGTTAATCTGCTCAAGGGTAGGAAAGCTCTACAGCAGGGCCTGGACAGGCTGGATTGATGGGCTGAGGCCAATTGTGTGAGGTTCTACGAGGCCAATTGTGTGAGGTTCTACAAGGCCAAGAGCTACACTGGGATGTCTAGAACAAGATACTGCCTTGCTGAATCCATGAAATATTCTGAACAAATTATGTATTCTGAACAAATACTCTCTGCAACACTGATTATGACAGAGGAAGACAATACATATGATTTCAACTTTGGTGATGGCATCAGTACCTGCTGATAAGGATCCTGCAGGGGCAGCTGGTTCCACCGTCCCTTGATTTGTCCACCGAGAGGACAAGGCAGCTTTCTTCACTGCACGTTTGTAATTGTCATACAGCATCTTGCCATACTGCAAAACAACCCAAACACCACAGTAAGCATGGTGTTAAGTCTGAAATAGGCCATACATTCATGTTGCTCTCAGACAACTTTAGTGACTCCATTCCTTCCTACCCAGTTCAGTTTTGTTAAAAAGGAGCTTTCTGCAAGTGCTGTGCCTATTTCTGTATAGGGCCAGGTGGCACCTCTGTGCTAGCACAATACAACATGAATCCCTGTGACCAAACAGTCCTACTGATGCCATTCTTGTATTTCGTGTTCATTTTGCTATTTGTAAATATGTTGAGACATGGCTTTGAAAGCACTTGTTCTCAACAAGTATCTTTTTGCAATTCTTTCCAACACTGGAGACCTGGGACACTGAATCCAGGGCTCTAGAGCAAACAGCTCTGTCAGTCTAAGACCCAAAATAATCTGATTCACCCCATACCTTTGTTGGATATCACCCTGCAGCAGAACTAGCAGGAAATAATATATAAGTGCCTGGAGTGGGTCTGTATAGCCAGGTACAGCCAGTATGGACTGGGCTACATATAAATCATCTCCGTTAATATACTGTGCAAACCAAAATGGTCTGTGAATTCTGATCTTTTTGAAAAGGGTGTGGCAGACAGTTTGGGCAGAACTGTTTGAAAAATGCCACAGCTGGACTGACAAGAACTTGAACATCTTTAACCACAGCATAATACTATTGTGCCAGAAAACCGTGGAGTGAGTTTTACAATTACACAAGTTTTGAAGCTACGGATTTCACCCTTATGTAATGAGAAAAACACACTGAGAACTAGGGTACAGGAACATTCAGCAAATCTGTCCTGGTCATGCCCTTTTGCTCTTCCTCTTTATGGTAAAATTAGCTCGTATGTCCATTCTTGTCACAGTATTTCCAGTTGAGGTGATGACAGTCAGTAACCTGAGGAAGACAGGATTTTATAGAAAATATATTTAACTAAATTTACTTTTATATCTTACCTTGGCAATTCTTATTCCTGTTACCCACTGGTGCAGAGTTGCTTGATCATCACAGCATAAGTACTTGATATAGTGTGACTCCTTTTGAATCTGGGGATGCTGAAAGATATTGATTCACAAAGTAAGAAAAACACAGAAATTAAGTCACTATACAAAAGTGTGAAGGCACAGGGACCTCAGTGAGGACACTGCCTACGGGCACCCTGTAAACTTGAAGATGATTTAGAAAAAAAAGCAGCAGCAGAAATAGAGTATAAGAAAATATATAAAAGATGGTCATTATGAATTGTACATGAGTTGCCACTGGCAGCATCTGCTTGAAATTATTTTAATTCATTGTTTTATGAATTCAAGGGCTACAGAAATCTAATAGTTGACCTAGAGTTCAACGGAGTCTACAAAAAAAAATGTTCAAGGTCTAACACTCCATGTATAAACACTGGGAGGAAGTCTGATTCTCTTTGTGTTTTATCATGTGTAAAACATCCAGACTGAATGCTGATCATAACTAGTTTTCAAAGAGTATGTTAAATTCATTTAAGCATAAGCTCTCAGCTGAAATAATTTTTTCCTTTTAACTGACTGACTTTCTTTGGGCCTAGATCTAACTTGCTTCCTGTACGTTTTTATTCTGCCTTCTCTCGTTTGTCAACAGTTTTGTAATGCTGCCTTATGTTCTAGGTAGAGGACCATTCAAAATGCAACACCATCAGAGGTAATCTTTTTTGTTTGTTTGTATCAGGAACCTTTACAATTTTTAAGCCTTTTTTGTGCTTTTGGACACAATTTAGGATCTCTTCCCCTTACTGATGAATGAAGTAGTGGTATGTGGTGATGTACCACTGCAACTCAAAGATCACCAAAATGCCAGGCTGACTACTTGCCTGAGCCTGAACATCTTCTCTGAGACTCTGCAGGAATTTGGATCCCTTGCTCCAGGAGAGAAGGCTGAAAGTCTTTAGTATTTTGGATGGAATACTGCCATCTCTTGATGCACAAGGAAACCAAAGGAAAAGGCTTCATTATCCCTCATTTGTATGTTAATTCCTGTTTATGTTCTTGTAAATTATAGGCACACAGTTAGTGAAATCTCATGAAGGCACAAAGAGCAGCCAAATATGCTCCAAGGATTCACAGCTGTCAAACCACCCGTGCTGGACGTGGGGAACTCAAGGATCCCTTGCAGTGCAGGGTGCTGTGAGCAGCCTGCCAGCCCAGGGCTGATGTGGGTGCCAGATGTCTTCTTGCAGATCCCAGCTGCCAAACCCTGGCCATGGCTGGGTGATCCACGGGTTCAAAAGCAGAGTTGAATACATAAATCTTGCACCTCAGCCACGTGTCCCTGCTTCTCTCTCAGCACTGCAGACACCAGGCTTCCCTTGTGCTGACGACCTGTTCATGAGGCCACATTGTGATTAGGAAAAAAAAAAAAAAAAAAAGGAACTGGTCTGGGTTAAATATAACCCATTTAATCACACTGTAGTTTTGTTTATTTTGTTTTAAACCCAGCAGTACACAGCATGGCCTTACATACAGCATAGGGAAAACAGGCACTGTGGCCTGGGGAGAGAACAAGTAGCAAGGGATGGATGAGTGGATGGGACCACACAAGCCAATATTGCTGCTGTGGCCCTGCATCATCAAATTATGCAGCAAGAGCAAACACAGCAGGCAGATAACTTTGAGGAAGAACAAATCAAAGGGATATTAATTCTGAGGAGTCTCACACTGACAGATGTGTCCCAAGGCAGTGCTGTGGGTAACTGCTTTGCAGCTCCCTGTGTGCTTGAGCTCAGCTGCTCACACAGGTCACCCTGCTCACTGTGTTTCTGCAAACACAGAGCTGGCCATCTCCTCTGGATGATGAATACACAAAGTTCACTTCAGCCCTCTGGAAGGGCCCACGGCTGCCTTATTCTTTTACCTTGCTCTTGGGCACTCGCAAGGTGACAGCTAGGGACATCTCACATTGCAAGCCCAAAGATGCCAGCTCACTGTCACCAGCTGCCTTAACTGCAGAACTGTGCTTCACCCAGCTGGTACACTCACACACTCCCCATCACACAGTTTAATGCACAGGGCTGTGCTATACACCTATGCCAGGTACCAAACAGAGGCAGTAACCAGGGCCATCTGCACAGGCAGCCTTCTCCAGCTCCCCAGTGTCTGCCTGTCCCTGTCTCCAGGAGCCTCAGGCAGCCTGAAGGCTGCTCAGAGTGGGCCTAACTGCTGCAATATGGGTTCAGGACACCATTCCTGACAAACCACATTTCTTTCCACCATTTCTCCATTATGTCACCAAACTAAGTGAAAACCACTAGAGAATTCAGTTGGAATGGCATCTTTAAAAGCAAACTGTAAACATACACTTGTGTGTACTCTGTGAGGCAGAGCACATCCTATAGACTTGGATTAGGTTATCACCAATAGTCAAAAGAACCAGGAGGTGCAAACAAAGGCACTGCAACCTTGGGTAAATTAAATTCTTCAAGCACTTTTTAATCAGCAACTAGCAATTTCGTTCCAGTGTGTAAGATCCTACTGAATCCAGCAGATGGCACCCAAAGCTTTCAAAAATTAAAAAAGCAAGGATTTTTGTTTTCCTCCTTTTTTCATGACAACAAAGTCCAGTGGGTCTATATATCTCCTCTCATTCTCAAGCCACATCTACCAACAGTTTTTATATACAAGAACCACCCCCAAAAAAAACCCCACAAAAAACAAAAGAACCAACAACATTTCCATAATTTAACAAATGGTTCACACAAACATCTGGAAGAAAGTTCACATTACATAAGCGAGGCAGAGGAGGACATGGCATAGAGCAAAGTAGGTACTGGTGATGCTCACAGACACAGCCCTGCCATGGGGATATGCTGCAGACCTCCCCTCGAGGGCACCCTAGAGAAACACCAGTTTCACAAGAACACTCGCACTGTGTCAGATCAAAGGTCCTCGAACTCGGTATCTGGACTTTGACAGTGGTCAAACTGGAGACAGAGGCCAGAGAAAGAACAAGCCAAGCATGTATGATACTTCCTGCTCTGTACTCTTCCTGTCTGCAACTATTTTCAGGTCAGGGGATTTTCTGTGCTGGATGGGGTTTTCTCTCTATTCAGGTTCAATGGATTTCTCCTCCCAGTACCTCAGCATTTTGAGCCCAGAGAGTTCTGTCATCCACAACATCTAGCAGCAATTTTCCTAGGTCAGCTACACAGTTTTTGAAGAACCACCTCCTTTTGCTCTCAACATGACTGCTGCTACCTTTGGGGAATGTTCTTTTTTCAGACACTGAACGGCTGACCCTTATCCACACCTCTCCATGCTGCTCCTGAGCCCAGAGATCTGCATCAGATTCCTGGCAAGCCAGACCTTTTCCAGCCTATAGGCTTCTAGTCCCTGCAGTAATTTTTCAAATCTGTGTCATTCCTTACCTTTGCTTATCCTTGTTGCTCCTCCTTGATCCTTTTCCAAGTTTATAATATCCTCTGAAATGAGAGGGCCAGAACTGCACAGGTGAGAGGAAACCAGGGACTTCGGCCACGGTATGGCAGTGTTTGCTGATTTATCATCTATCCCTTTCCTAATAATTCCTACTGCTTGATTTACATATCTGACCATCACTGAGCACTGAAAACAAAGCTCTCATCAAGTTATGTACCACAGCAGCATCTTGTTCCTGAATGGTACAGGTCAGCTGAAAGCCAGTATTTCACAGGTGAAGTTCTGATCACTTTTTTCCTTATGCACATTACTGTGTGTATACCTACACTATATGTTTCTTAAGATTTTATTGTCCATAACCTCAGGCTCACAATGGCCTTTGGGAATTCTTCAGTCTGCTCTTTCCTAAACAATCTGAATAACGTATCATCATCAGTAATCATCACCAGTAAGCTTCCTCACCTTACCGATTACCCTATCAATGAATATTTTGAGACTGGGGGGTTCTCATCACCACAAGAAGTTGAGAGGGAACTGCCAGTGAACAAAGCTAGTGTCCTGTGCCAGACATCAGGGGAGCTATTTAACGCCCATCCTCCATCCTGTGTTTTACTAGCTATTGTCTCCACTGGGCAATCCATCTTAACTACTGACATTGACCAGTGGGGCCTTTTCCAAATTACCCCAATCAGTTCCTTGATTAAATTACTCCAATCAGCAACCATGATTAAATGCAGTCACAAGTATATTCTGTCAATTAGGGACCAAACTAGCAAGTTGCTGAAGACACAGCTCTCACAAGGAAGGTTAAACACCTCAAAGCCATGCAGGCAGTCTGTATCTTCACTTCATAACACCTAAGAACTGTATCACTGAATACTGAAGATTTATACCTGTACAAGATTATTAAAAAGTGGCTCAGATGGAGGCATTTGGCTTCCTGTGGTTTTCAGACATGCCCCACCCCAGCAGCTTGCTCACTTGGGAAGAACTGTACCATACTGAAATTACTTCAGGAGTACAAATGGCAGAAGTCTCTGCTGTTGACACTGACCTTTACAAGCTCAATTCTCCACTAAAAACTTCAGGTCGCATGAAAAAATCTATTAGATAATACATAAAAATGCTGTATCAGGATAACCAATTCAGAGAAGAAACTAAACAGCTGAAAGTCACTGAAAATAATGACTTGGTGTGAAGACCTGTGTGAACCAATTTCCTCCTTTCACAGCTCCTCTGTCTCAGGACAGTTTTTTGTACAGCACACAGATGTAAGGAGCTATAGTCACTACCCAAGTCTGGTTTTGCGAAACTAGATCCACAGTCTACTAACCTCTGTAATAACCTCTCTATGAGACTAACAGAGATCATAACAATATTAATCACAATAGTCAAGGGAGAAATAACTGTATTTTAGGTGAAGTAGCACTAACCTCAGTATGCCATAGCTTGCACATCTCACACACAAACACAGATGAATTATTTTGTTACATGGTGCACACTCTGTCCTGAAAGGGTGATTAAAATAATCTGACCACAAAGTGAAAACATCTCCTCTGGAAAAGTTTATCACCTTCACCTCTGAAACATGCAGCACCATAATGAATTATGAAAGACAAATGTTTAAAAAGCAATCACCCCAGAACTCACAGTTT